AAATTAAAAATTCATTAAAACGGTTGGAGATATAGTTAAGAAATTTTCCCTGAAGGTAAACCAAAGACAAGGAGGCATAAAATAGAAAAGAAAAAAGTCATAGAAGATCAGTATGGGAGCCTCAATATGAGATTAGAAGTTAAAGAGAGAAGAGAAAATATAATTGAGAGGACATAATCAAAGAAATTATTCAAGAAATGAAGAAACTAAATTTCCAGATTGAAAACTGCCATCACAATGAAAGGACAGACCCACCACAGAGCACATTCCTATAAAACTTCAGAATACCATGGATAACCCCTCAAAGGCAATGCTGGAAGATAGAAGATAAAGAAGCAAAACTTTTAAAATTCTGTGGGGAAATTGTCTTCAACCTGGAATTCTGTAAGTAGTCAAACTATCAATCTTATGAGCATGTAGAATAAAGATTTTTCAAATGTGTAACTTCTCTAATTAACTTTATTAATTAATGTATTTAGTATCCTACACACCTTTCTCGGGAAGCAAGCAGGGAATAGAATCCATCAAAATTAGAAGAAAATCAAGAAAGAGGGGGTTAGTTATTAGATTCTGGAAATAGCTAGATATTCAATGCCAGAGACAGCTAGGCAACACAGAAGCAAGTCAAAAGGGAACCACCAGGATGATTTTAGAAGGAAGTCCCAGGACAGTACCTATGCGGTCCGTCCAGACAGCAATAAATTCAGATTGGAACATGAAAATGGAGAATTCTGGAAGGGGTACCTTCAGGAAAAAAACTAATAGAAAAGGCAGATTCTTGAAAGTTTGGGCTCTGTGGAAAATTGCATTGAGCAGCTTTTTATTACAGAGATGTTGGAAAATACTCCAAGACTTAGGGAGGATTGAAGAAAATCAAGCAAAGAAAACAACAGAGTCATCATAACAGAGAAACAGCTATGTAGAAATGGAATTATATACCACTTAGTTGAGCAGCAAATTGTTACAATGATGAAAATACTAATGCTTAACCATAACTTACCGTATACTGAGAGAACGGAGAAGGGGAAGCAAGAATATAAAAGTATTAAATCTTCATTGCTATATGTAGAAGTCAAAAGTTACTATCTAAAATCAATAACTTGAAAAATAGCAATATTTCTTTATTATTTGGAAATGTGCCAGAAAACAGGGGGAAACTATTTAAAGGCATTACCTTAGAATAGCAAACTATGAGGAAAATTTGGCCCTTGTGTCAAGGGGACAAGGTTTACTGATTGTTATAGTTTTTTACTACTATTTGACTTTTTTGACTTTG